AAATCTGAAGAAAAATTTTAAAACATTTTGAAAAAAATAAAATTAAACATACAAACGATCAAAATTTGTGAAAGGTAGCAAAATCAAAGCTTAGAGAAAGATTTATTATACTGAATGCATATATTAGAAAATAAGAAAACTCTAAAATCAATATCTAAGTTTCCACCTTGGGAAAATAAAAAAGAAAAGCAAATTAAATTTTAAGTAAGCACAAGAAAAAATAGAATAAAAATTAGGCCTGAAATCAATTAAATTACAAGCAGGAAATCAATAGAGAAAATTGACACAACCATAGGTTAATTCTTTAGAAAGATAATTGACCCAGCCAGGTTATCTAAGAAAATGAGGGAAGACACAAATTACTAATAACAGAAATAAAGGAGGGTACGTAACTACAGATCCTATATACACGAAAAGGATAATAAAGAAATATTATAAGCAATACTCTGCCTACAACTATAATAACCCATATAAAATAGACCAATATATTGAAAGACACAATCTACCCAAATTTGTACAAGAATAAATAGACAATATTAAAGGGACTATTTCTGTTTAAGAAATTGAACTGATTTTAATAACTTTCCAAAACAGAAAGAAACAGGCCTACGTGGTTTCACTGATGAATTCTACCAAATACTTAAGAATTAATTTATATCAATTCTCTACAATTTTTTTCAGAGGTTAGGAGCAGAAAAAATACTTTCTATCTCATTTATTGAGGCCAACATTACCCTAATACCAAGACCAGACAAAGATATTACAAATAAGTCCTTAAACTGATAAAATATATTTAAAAAATAAATGTACTAAAACTTGGAAATAGGCAAATGTAACCAGCCCCACTTGCATTCAGCAATGGATTTCATGATAATATAATATTTATAAGAATCAAGGAGCACAGACAAATACCAAAATAAAACACCATTTTATGCCTACTTAAATTGCAAAAATCTAGAAGTCACATAATTCCAAATGTTGGAGCGAATGTATACTCCAATTTTCATTTACATATTACTTGTGATCAAGTAAATTAATGTAGTCACTTTAAAAAGAAACAGCTTCCAGCTGTAATGACTCATACCTGTAATTCCAGCACTTTGGGAGGCCAAGGCAGACAGATTACTTGAGCCTAGGAGTTCAACACCAGCCTGGCAACAAGGTAAAACCTTATCTCTACTAAAAATACAAAAAAAAAAAAAAAAAAAAAAAAAAAAAAAAAAAAAAAAAAAAAAAAAAAAAAAAAAGTGCTGGGTGAAGTGGCATGTGTCTGTAGTTCCAGCTACTCAGGAGGTGGGAGAATCACTTGAGCCTAGGAGGTGGAGTTTGCAGTGAGCCAAGATTATGCCACTGCACTCCAGCCTGGGTAACAGAAGCCCTGTCTCAAAAAAAGGGCAGCAACTATAATGCTATTATGTTGGAACTTTCCAATTTATTGAGTTTCTATGTAACACTGTGCTAAGCACCTTATAAATATCCTGACAACTCTGAGATAAATATTATTTCAATTTATTAATTTTCTAGCTTATGGATGTCATGATCTGTGAGTTGGGTCTCTTGAAGACAACGAAATGGTTGGGTCTTGCTTCTTTATCCAACTTGCTATTCTATGCCTTTTAAGTGTGAGCATTTAACCCATTTACATTCAAGATTAATATTGATATATGAAGATTTGATTCTGTCATAGTGTTGTTAGCTGGTTATTATGTTGACTTGATTGCATAATTGCTTTATAATGTCAGTGGGCTCTGTAGTTAAGTCCATTTTTGTGGTGACAGGTATCACTCTTTCATTTCCATGTTTAGGACTCCCTTAAGCATCTCTTGTAAGACAGGTCTAATGGTAACAAATTCTTTTAGCATTTGCTCGACTGAAAAGAATATTCTTTCTTTACTTATGAAGCTTAGTTTGGCAGAATATAAAATTCTTAGTTGAAATTTCTTTTCTTTAAGGATGGTGAAATTAGGTCCCCAATCTCTTCTAGCTTGTAGAAAGATCTGTTGTTAGACTGATGGGGCCCCTTCTCTCTAGCTGCCTTCAAGGTTTTTTTCTTTCATGTTTACCTTGGAGAATCTGATGATTATGTGTCTTCTGGATGGCCATCTTGTATAGTATCTTGAAGGGATTCTTTGAATTTTTTGAGTTTGTATATTGACCTCTCTAGCAAGATTGGGAAATTTTTCACGGACTGTGTTCTCAAATACGTTTTCCAAGTTGCTTACTCTTTCTCCTTCTCTTGCAGGAATGCCAGTGAGTCACAGGTTTAGTCTCTTTACATAATCCCATATTTCTCAGAGATTTTGTTCATTAATATTTTTCTTTTAATCTTGTCTGCTTGTGTTGATTCAAAGGGGTAGTCTTCAAACTCTGAGATTCTTTCTTAAGCTTGGTCTATTTTGTTGTTAATTACTATAATTGTATTATGAAATTCCTGTAGTAAAATATTTAATTTCAGAAGTTAATTTTGATTCTTTCTTAAAATGACTATGTCATCTTTAAACTCTTGAATTGTTTTGCTGTTTTCTTTGGATTGTGTTTAAATCTTCTCCTGTATCTTGTTGAGTTTAAGTTTGAAGAGAAGAAATGACGAGCATAATGATGAGGCGTATACTAGCAGGTTCTATGTAATGTAGTTAGTTCAGTACAAAAATTGAGGAGAAGGGGTAGAAAAGAATCCAAGTATTTGATTTCTGAAAGTATTGTTTTTATTTACATGGATACATTATCAATTTGCACTTATACATTGCCACCTGCTGAGTCTGTATATGTAAGTAAGTAACAACATGTATATTTGGGTGTGTGTATGCATGTTAGCAAGTGTTAGAATCCATGGTTGCTTGACACTCAATAATTTAATCTTAAGATAATTTTTTAGAAGTAGGGGGAGGTTATTAAAGAGAGCACTTATAAAACCCTGCTTGCCATAACATCTTGAGGGTACTAATATTACAAAAATCCACATTTATTTTAGCGATATGGGATAGAGTTGAGAGCATAAGATTTGGAATCAGATTGCCTGAGTTCAGACCTTCAGTGTACACAATTACCAACTTTGAGACCTAGGAGAAGACATTTGCCACTTCTATGTCTAGGTTTTTTCATCTGAAAAGGGGAGATAATAGCATCCAGTTGATAGAATTGTGGTAAGAAAAAAATCTGTTAGCAAAAGTGAAACACTAAACCAATGTCTGGCATATATAGTAAATGCTCGATAAATGTTAGCTACTATTATTAAGGTTTCTCTCATCTTTTTTTATGCTCCTGAATTACATTTGTTTTACCATTATGTTTTCATTATCTTTCTATCTATAGAGATATCTCTAATTCATAATATTTCAAATACAGAAAATTAAGAAATCAGATAAAATGTAATTTAATGAAAGTAAAAGTCAATATATTTTCAACAACTTTTGTTAATACTTTGAAGTCCTAAACTTCATAAAAAATTAAAATACCCTTCATTTAAAAAATTTTCTTTCATCATGTTTTCATTCCTCATGAAAATGCAACAGACTTCAACTACAGGCACACAGGTCTTTACAGAATTATTGTAAAATGATTGTTGAGTTTAATATTCTTTCTCAACAACATATCAATGTTAACAACTTAAGTTAGTGAAAATACTATTTTAAATATCACTTGTAGACTTGATTAACCAATTTAGCGATGTTTCTGAAATACCAGCATTAGTGATGTCAGTCTTATCCCAGTATCTTCCTCTAGCTCTGGTCGTCTTCATTGGGCTGCAGTTAAGGTCCTTTCCATACAATGCTAATTCCCTAACTCTCAGCTTCTCCAGATATGCCATAAGGGATCACTCTGGAAATGTTATTGCTCCAGGCAATTTGCTGCCACTTTGCTGTGCACATGTAGGTGAAATCACTGAAACACTCAGTATTTCAAAATAAAAACAATTCAGTACATTATGTTACCCTTAGAATATAGAACATAATTCACTTGCATTAATCAGTACTTTTTCCTTATGTCTGCCATTCTGCCTAAATAATACTCAAATATTTCATCAGAGAAGATTTTATCAGTGATCTCAGAAAACAAATTTTATGTTCCCTGGACGAAGTTAAAAGGAACCTTTTATCACATTATTGCAATCGACTCCAATCTTGGTGGTCTTTATTCAGCTGTATATAAGACTACAAATTTGACTAAATAAAAAATGTAAAACATTTGCTAAAAGGTGACCCTTATTTATTTGTTGATTTCCTCAAGACTTCCGTATGGGGATTTAAAGGCTTTGACTTGGGTTCCAGGGTTTTCAGTTCACAATGTACATGACTTCAGGTAAATTTCTTAACTTCTCTGAGTCTTGGCTTCCCATTTAGCATTGTGCTTAGGAGTACTCCTTCCTGTTTATAAAAATGCCAGCATCATTTAACACCTTACCTGTATCATTTGATACAGTTTGTGTCAAAAGCAAAAGGCAGAATTATTACTTTTATCAGCTCACAAATGAAAAAATTAAATATCTTTTCTAAATCATCAAACAGGTCTTTGAGCCAGGTTTTTGACTATCATAGACTTCTGTTCCATGAGCCTAAATTACTTATCAGAATTTTTTTAAATGCTGTTTTTTTAAAAGAATTTTTAAATAAGACAGTATCACAAAGTGAGTCCCAAGACATTTTCTAAGTTTCTAAGTTAATTTCAAGAATTTTTAACATATTATTCATTTTGCATTTTTATTTTTAATCACATTCGTAAGTATCTCGTGATCAATCCAAAACCAAAGAGAAGCTATCAAAATATTTCTACATTTTCTACATTGATAAACTTTTAAGTATCAAAAATTTCACCAAAGAAATACTTGATCAGATTAAAAGACTGGTTGAAATGAAGGTATGAATCATTATGTTAATATTTCAATATATGCTTCAATTGAAAATCATAATTTGAAATATAATGTTCTTTTTAACAACTTGCTTTCTATACATTAAAGTTCCCTGTTTACTTATTTTAGCTCAAAAACATAAAACTTATTCTACCTTCAATCCATTGCAGTGTCTTGTTTTCTTATTCTCTGAAGATTGTGCCTCTGCTGTTTTATCCAAATGTTGATTTTGGTCCATGATTGAAATATAGATATCATATGAATATTTTCAGTTGTTGTTGATGCTTCTTTTGAAACAATCACTTATTAAGGAAGAAAAAATATAGTTTATTTTATTTTTTACAGTATATAATTTAGAAATAAGAAAAGCCACAAGGCCATCACCAATCAATCAACCATTCACTAACATTCATTCAGGGTCTACTATGTCTTGACCACTCTGCTAGATCAATGCTGGACACAAAAATAGGAAAGACAGACATAAATTCTAGCCTAAGGATATTATAACTTAATAGAAAAATAAATTTGTGGAGAGAAATTTGAAACAAATAGGTAATATAGAATCACACGCCAGATTACACGAACATTTTACATTATAGAAACTTAAATTATCTTTTCTACACACCTATATTGTAAAATTTATAAAAGCAAATATATGTTTTCTTTATCCTTATAGTTTTAAAATGTGCCAATTAGTCCCTTGCACAGAGTAGATATTCAAAATGGATACAAAAACAATATAAACAATTAAATCAGAATGGCCTCAGACAGTTTAATAAAGGAGACACCACTGGAATCAGGCTCAAAAGGCAGACAGAATTTGGATTTGTTAAAAAGAGCAAAGTATACTCCTAGTACTTCTCAGAGCAACTCTGGTATTGCTTGACTTTACCACCATCATGATGTTACTTTATTTTGATTTTGTTCATTTCTTTTCCAAGAGAAAATGTATATAGTTGAAAATGCAAATTTAAAAAAACCAAAGATTCTTCCTCTGACTCTTGTCCCCTTATCCAGAAATATAATATGCATTTTTCAGTAAGTACATAATATTTTCCTTTTCAACACAAGTCCTAGCATACCTTAAACATTATTTTCTACCTTTTTATCTTCTCTATATACTTAACTTTGTGTTAATAAAAGTCTTTCTCATTTTTCTTATGGTAGCAGGGTATTAAGTTGTCCATAATATATGTAACTGGTTCTATATTAATCAGCATTTAGGTTGTATCTAATCATTTCATATTAAAGATGTTCTTAATATATCGTGGGCCATTTTGGTTTTATGTGGCCATATCTGTAGAATAAGTTCAACAACTAGAGTTTTGGAATCAACGTATAAGGGAAATTGTTATTTTGAAAGTCATTAAGGTCCTATTTTAAAGACTAGTAAAATGACTTCACTTTTTACTTCAATTGACTCTTTTATATAGAATATAATGTGTTCTTCATGGAGTTTTAGAAATACATTCTAGTTCATATGTGTGTAAACAATACATATTTATGTATCTAAGATATCTATATAAGCAGACACAGCATAGATACATGATATTAAATAGGGCACTAATTATAAAATATGTGTGGTATATGTTATATGTACAGTTGATACTTGTTACAATAGTTATGTTTAATAAAGTTGCTGGGAACACTGAACATCTCTCCAAGGTTGTTCCTTGGAGAGATGTCAGGGTAGTTACGTGCCTGTGTGTCTCTGGTCACAATATTTTTGTAAAATGTTCAATAGAGAACTGTGTTTTCTGTATGTTTTGTTTAAAGACACTTTATTTAATACATACTCTTGATTATTAACATTGAATTAGTTGTCAATAACACTGCAGTTCAGGCTTAGAGGAAGCTTATACAGCATATGTGTCTTTTCCTCGGTTACTCTCATGCACCGGACAGCACTCAGCACCATCTTTGGGGCCCATTTGAAACATTAAACTCAGAAACACAAAACACAAAAGTGCCAAAAATGTGGCAACAAACACACTGTGAAAAGGATCTTTGTTTATCATATGTGAGCTGAAACAAGAAGACAGAGTTTCACTTTGTTCAACCTCAGTTAGGAACATGGCAGCTCAAATTTTTCACCACTTTGCACACGCATGTGAATGCCCATGAAAGCCCAGCAGTATTGATTTTGATGTCACAAAGGAATTTTAGTGAGTAGATAAATTTTCTTACATAGAATTTGTGAATAATGCGGCTCGACTCCATATTTCATTCACTAATTTATTCAACAAGGGCTTATTGATTCTGAATAATATAAATATTATAATACATATTTAAGGGATAGTGCATAAATGTGGAAGCAATAAATAGGATATTATCACTTATGTATATGTGAGTATATATAAACATATGGTTGAATACAGAAACCCATATATGTGTACCTCTAAGTGAACTCCAATTATTACATTTTGTGTGTGTGTGTGTTTTATGCATGCCTGTACCTGGGTCGGGTTTCTGGGTTCAGTGAGTGAGGAAAAAGTCAATGACTGGGTAGTCTCAAGGTAGTAAGCTGTCCTTTGATAAATTTCACCCCACTTTTTCCATGAATATCTGTTTCTATTTCTTTCTTCATAATTTAAATATTAGGAAATCCTTTTTTTTAAAAAAATTATGTAATAGCAAATATCTTTGTATGACTTGCAAGGTGGATACTCTTCCCTTAGTTTTAGGCTTTTATTTTCTCTCTACTAACAAATATTCTTGAAGTCTTGAAGGCTATTGTCCCACCACTCCAAACCTGGTTTATTTCAATTGATTAACTTCTGTTTGTCCTGTCTCCCACCTTTCTTTCTATCCTATGTATTTATCCTAAGAATCTTTCAAAGATCCCTTTAACCACACAAAATAAAATTCATAGTTTCTATTTGAGGGTCTTCACAACCTAAACCAAGCCCGTGATTTTAGAACCATTCTCAAAATACCCATAGCACCTGCAGACACATCGAACTACAGTCCCAAGAAGAAAGCTTTCTGCCCTCCTGTATGTTTCTTTCAATCCTGAATGTCCTTTTCCATCTCTTGGTTGTAATGCTGATCCAAATTGTACCTCTTCAATATTTTCATACTTACCTCCTGTTGATATTATCTCTCACCCTGCTGTGCCAGTGGAGAATATACCTAAAGTCATTACTTTTCTTTGTATTTCCCCTACTTTCCCAGACAACTATTCCACATCTCTCTCCTAGATCTTCAGATAAAATATGGAGAAAAAAAAGGTGGACACTTTGTTCCTC